CGATAAGCTGGAAACCACTCCGCTTCACGTCGTGGTTTCCTACGCTTATCTCGTGTTCTCCCAACCTCCCAAGTGTTTACATCAGTCTATGTAAACACGGAAACCATTTTACATTTCTTCATTACTTTTTGCTCGTGGTATTTTTTTCCTTTACATCTGGTATAATTTTCCGCGTCTTGCAATCAGAGCTCAAGAATCTCCCAATGTTCGTCGTACTGAGCTTTGCACATGGCGCTTTGGAAGATTAACAGTTCTAACTATCTTGTTGTGCTAGTTTATTTTTGCTACTTTGTCTAGAAAAGGTTTTCAATTCATTTTTGCTTTGGCTACAAATGTCCTACTTAAATGTTGCTGTGGTGCATGTTTGGAAGAAGAAATGGAAAAAGTATGTGCTCTTTACTTTTATTTTGACTACTTTTGTAATTTTTACATTTAAGAACACTGTGCTTCCCACTATCGAAGTCATAGATCTCCCTCCATCCTCCTGTAAGAGGATGTTTTAACATTGATTCCCCAAACGAGTTGAATATTTATATCTTGTTGAACTTCGCCATCATTTTTGGCATCGTCATTGACGAAATGATCATGCGTATTATAGGGAGTGTAATTGTCTGAGTTACTAGAACTTTAATTCACGCCTGGTAGAAGATATAACTGGAAACCAGCCATAATTTTCGGAACTTTGATTTTTATTCAACGAAATACGGTAAAATTCTTTAAAATAGTAAAAATAAAACTGATTATTTCATGATAAAAAAATCTTGATGTCGCCGGAGATGTTCACTCGACCGCGACAGGATGCAAATGACTCGCTTTTTGTTTTACGACCATGATGCAACATCAGAGTGTGCACACCGCCCGGAAGAAGACATAAACGAAAAGAGCAGATAACGTCAACATACTTGGGTCAACTGATATCTAGTTACAGAGGCCTGAAGAAGAATCTACTTTCGGTTTATATAGTCGCTCAGTTTCCCAGATTCGACGTTTCAGTTTGTATCTGTGATAGGTGCAGCTGTGGGTCCTAAGAATCTTTAATACATAACACAGTCTTCTGGCACAAACGGAATTCAGTTGAATGCATGGCGTCCTTTACACTCGAAGGCGTATTTGCCTACGTGACGGAAACATTCACTGCCGGTGTGATTCAGTCTTATCAGGGACAAAGATTTCTCGAAGATGCTCCACTGATACAAGGAAGAGACCCTTTGGAGGATTTCAAAAACTTTGATAATGTCGATAATGATACAATTTTTCAGGAGTACGATCCACCGCTAGGAGACGTTAGTAACATGGGCTGGAGGAGATCTCGGCCGCCAAGATGGTGGATGTCGCTTTGGAAGGCCGTGAAATGTGTTTTCTTTATTCAAATTGTAGGAGGTTTAGCTCTCGGCTCGCTGGCTCTATTGATTTTAGTTTTGGATTTTAATTCTGTTGATCTTTGCTACGATAGGCAGTTACATGGTCAATGGAACTCGTTACCTCATAAGATTCAAGCTATTATTGTGACAGCCGAGACACTGGAAGCATATATAATCCAGATGTGGTCATTTCTTCTGATAATCACAATGTTTGGCTGGCCATTAGTGAAAAGACTTAATCTATTAGTTCTAAATCTACTGGGAGCATTCTTCGATACCTGTTACAGGCTGTACCTCCAAGTCTTTGGAATATACAAGAAGTTATGGATGTCTTTTCCTTTAAACGCTTTATTTCTAGCTATGGTTCTGATGAACTCTGTTCTAGTGGGCAGAGAAATTGCTAAGAGAACGGCCAGGGATCGAAGAATAGAACTTAGAAAAATCCTCAAGGTTTCTTCTATACTCGCAGCGCAATTGGCACTTGTGATTCCTATCGCTTTAGTTCTTGTTTACGTAGTGATTCCATTATACGATCAGCAGAATGAGACGAACAGGGCGGTTATAGCTGGCGCACTTCCTTTGGTGACCGCTGTACCGAAGGTCATAGTCCGATTGGCGGCCCAAAGGATCGATTTTCTCCATCCCAGCGACTCCCATGTCCTACTGAGTGTTTTATACAGCGCATCTGCGATCGTTTTTCGCGTCATGCAAGCAGAACTGACGAGTCTTCAACTGTTCATTGCTCTGAGCTTTCTTCACAGTGCAGTGGACTTACTGGAAAGATTGACCATTGTTGCGCGGGATTATCTTTGGTATTTTATCTACAAAAAGTGTAAAGGTGACGCGAATGCTGAAGAAGCGTTAAGGGCGAACAGATTTCGAACGCCCAGAAGCATGCGTCTTATTGCAGACATGAGCATTCAGACGATTCTCGGAGAATCGACTGCGTTGATAGCAGCGGTTGGCTTCATCCAGCTGTATAGCTTCATGTACAACAATAATAGTCTGGCCTTCTCTGACCTGGGTTTGGTTGGGGATTTCTTCATCCGCGTGTCCATTGCACTCACCATCGATTTCGTTTTCAATTCGTTCTCATTCTGGCTACAAATGTCATATCTTAATGTTGCTGTAGTGAAAGTGTGGAAGAAGAAATGGCGAAAACATATGCTTGTGGGTCTGATTTTGACCTCCGTGACACTCTGTTACTTTACAAGTCATTTGTTCGCAGTTGTAAAAGACAAACATGAGTCTGCCGCTAGAATGCGTCATTTTAATTGCACCGGGCCATTTTCAAGATTTTAGCTGGAACAGAGCATGGTGTTACGGGAAAATTTACTGATTTTTCCGTGTGTTTGTTTGGAACATATTTACTCATAAAACTTTTCATATTTAACCATTTCCAATTTAATCGAGTTCATTCAAGTTCTTTCATTCTAATATGTCAAAATATATATATAAAAAGCCACAGTAGTTTAAGACTAGTAAACTGTTATTTCTGGCGTTTGAGTGACATGGGAACAAATTAGTCAGAAATGAAGTTTTGGATTATTTAAGGGTTTCGCTAGAAAATTAAGACATTATAAATAATTCGGTCAGTCTTTTCGGTCAGTCTTTTCGGTCAGTCTTTTCGGTCAGTCTTTTCGGTCAGTCTTTTCTTTTTTTTTCGTATTGATGTACTTTTCTTTTTCCAAATCCCTGTAAAATATCACGACATTCATTGATTTTTCTTTGTGATAAGCAGAGTAACCAGATTAGTTTACCCTTTCCTCGTGGTATTGTGCTGCTGCATTAGATGAGGAATACGTTTCCACACATTTTTTTGGCCACTTCTAAAGTGTTGTTTTTTAGTGGTTTTTCGTATCTGGCGTAGCACAGGTTCTTTTTGTAGAACCCTTAGTTTTCAGTGTACACATGTTAAGATCATATTAGGATGCTTGTACTTCAAGACGGTTGACTCGTCCTAAATAAACTTTTTACATTGAATAACTCGTCTTAGTGTAGTCACAATGAAGGTTTTTGCTTTGTTGCTTGCTTTCATTGTACACCTGTATGTTGGTACTTTTGTTGACCATTACCAGTGAAAACTGGTGTTTTCACTTCCAATCGCTAGAAAAATTTTTCGTTTTAGTATTTTCACTTCCACGCATATCAGCAGTACCTTACATTTCGCTCGCCTTTACCTTATTCAGTATTGCATACTATTTGAAATATAACCATTATCTTTCATCAGTTGAAGCGAAATGTAATCTTAACATTGGTTTAGTGGAAATTTATTTTGTTACGAAAAATTTTTTACTTGCAGTTTGCGTACAGGAGATAAGCCCTTATGGAGGACAAGAACAATGCGCGCGAGAGGAATATACGTGTGATTGACTGGAAATAAATGAGCTTAAATAATTCGTTATACTGCAATCAGACTCCGTCTTCTCAGTACACCGGCTACGCAGGAAACTGGCCTTGCCTAAAAGTGTTCTAGGCCCAAGTCTCGCCTCTCGTTTTCTCGGCTCTACCACTTAACGCGCAAATGTGCACATAAAAACACCAGCTCCATACACAAGCTACAGCATTCATCAGCGATAAAAAAAAAACATCTTAAAATACTTTACATAACCTTTAATCATGCAAGTTAGTGACATGCAAAACAAATCATCTCTCTTATTTTATTCTTGACTTTTGCACATCATAACTTCTATAATTGATTAAGAACAGAATCAATTTTGGGAGTCTTGCTTGATTTCAAGGAGTGTCGCTGAGATGTAACCTCAAATAAGATCTAACGGATATGTCAACCAAGGAATCGAAGCAAACAATTAATTTTTCGCCTCATTACTCATGCTGAAGGTCACCTTTCCAAAGTTATTACAAAACCTTTTGGCAAACAATCGTCCCTAAAACTAGCGTAAACATCGCACCCTCACAACAGATATCTCATATTTTCAATTATTTTTCAAGCTGGGAAACTGTTGGCTCTTGATAGGTGGATGTTGCCGAGAAATAGGTGAATTTTGTTTTCGTTGTTAGAATTGAAATGATGGGGGCTTTTAGTACCACTCGCAGCTGGTCAGCAATTCCACACGTCGTGATTCGTAACCGACCGTATAAGTGCGAGTGAGGGAAATAAAGAAAAATTTTGATCAAATTATGCATGAGGGATTTAACTAGATGGTCTCTTCAATAGCCCTACACGCTTTTAGCCCTTTTACTTTCTGTCTGCCATAGAATTCAGTACTGGATTAACTAATAATCCCTTAAGTGATATTTTTCTTTATTTTCATTCATTTCATCACTTGTCTGCTTGATATTGTGTTGATATTGTAAGAAGAAATTCTACTTGAGTCACTTATGGGAGAAAAAAGGGTTAAGTCGTTGTCATTCCACGACTAAGCGACCTTTGACCTGTTATGGAATGATTTGAATCCTTTGCCAATAAAGTTGTATCACCAGTTAACAAATTCTCTGATCAGTGGCCGTTACAACGTGGAGGGATGCGTATTACATGTTCTGACTGGTAGAATCCGATTCTAAACATTTAAGATAACTCTAACCTCCGTTTTCAATTAACCGGTACAGTAAATAATTTACAATAAAATTATAGGCGATTGGAACTCACAGTAGTCCTCAAAACCGTACTAAGTAAACCTAGATGTCATATATCGAAGATTTTCCTGACTCGCCATTTGATTGGTCAGCCTTCAAATCTTCCCTTGGAACTTCCTCTGACATTTCTAGCTGCTTAGGGCCTGGATCCGTAGGTGTCGGGGATCGAGACCCCTGAGGCGAGGAAAGGGCTGCTGGTGAAAGTGCTGGACTGGGAGCCAGAATAATGGGCACTGAACTGGGGCGTACGTTGTCTGCTAAGGAGCCCAAGTGTGTTGGAGAGGTGCTCCGGTTTGTTAATGAAGGTAGAGGTGGCTGTAAAACCACACAAACTTGCTGCTGTCCACCACCAGGAGGAGAAGAGATGCTGCTGTTACTGCTTTTCTGGTTGGAAGGCAAGCTTCGCTCACCGTCTGGATTGTCTTGGTTATCCATTTTATCAACTGAAAAGATAAGGAAGCACAGAATGCAAACGGAGGTTAATTCACAGTTACAAAGTAGCAAAGTTCAGTACGTTAGTTGTATATAACCCATTGGGCGGAGGACTAACCGATTGAATTGTAATCATGATTTAAGTGTATTTAGAGCAATATTCCATCGAGTGTGGAAAGTAAAACAGGTCTACATTGGTTTTGGTTTACTTCACTCCATGATTGGTCCGGAAAACTTGGACCACTCCCTCAACCAATCAGATGCAAAACTAACACCAATCACGCGCCCGCGTTTTCCTGCACTTTAGGCAGGTTACTTGTTTTTACTTTCGGTTCTCATTGGCTTTTCAACTTACTTTCCCATCTTCTGATTGGCCGTTTTAATTATTTTTGTAGAACTGTTCGACTTAAGAGAAGAAAGTTTCCAATCAAACCAAATTACAATAACAACATAATTTCTCACCGTTACTGGGCAAATCCGTAGCGCGATTGCTTTTCTCTGAAACTGCTTTCTCCTGCTCAGGCTTCACTTTAGGGATATTGCTAACGGGTAATTGACTGCGAGGTGTAAAAAGTTCCTGGCGGAGGTTAGGTAAGAAGCAGTCAATCCGTTCCCATGTGACCTGCCATAGTGCAGAGTACTTATGTATGTCTGATTCTGGCCTGGCAGGTGTTTTGCGGTTATCACTTTCACAATTTCATATGCTATGACGTAGCGCCTGACAGGCAGCACGCGTTTTTTTCCTGCTCCGTGATTCTAAGCGAACTTTCTTCAAAATAACTTCCTCGAAACGACAAAGAGCACTATTTTAATCACAAGTAGATTTTTATAATATTGGCCTCTAGTTACATGGCGATATTTTATTCAAGAGCGGCACTGAATGCCATTTTATCTTCAACGACGAAGAAGTCGCTCGGTTGTGAGTTATGGCGCAACATATCTGATCTGGGAATAACACGGCAAAGACCTACACGTCGAGGGACAAGAGCAGGACAGCGCAAACAAAGGCAGATTGGGATTTGCATGGGGAATGGAGCACGCAAGACTCAGCAATTTCCGAACTTTAATGGGTGTTTCTTTGCCAAGAACTTCCTTCACAGGAAACCTCATTTACATAACCAACTGGCGAACATATTAAATATTCAAAATGACACCTTTCCACGTAGCAATCTAAACAACTGCATTGTTATAGATTGCACCAAGGAAAACAGAGCAGCCAGTACTGAATGGTCACCCAAAGTTCCTAAGATCATGTTAGCGAATGTCATGTCTTTAGCCCCCAAATGGATGAAGTTAGCGAGTTTATCACTCGTAATCATATCAACCTTGCGTTCGTTACGGAAACCTGGCTAAAGGACTCTGTGTTGGACACCGTTGTTGACATCCCCGGGTTTGCTATTGTGCGTGAGGACAGGAAGACACTAGAACACGGTGGTGTGTGTGTCTATATTCAAGAAAAACGGTGCAAATATAAACAACTGAACGATTTAAAGTGCTGTGATAATCATGAGACATTGTGGCTCCATCTAAGACCAAACCGCCTCCCCGGGGGTTTTCCTGCATAATCGCGGCAGTGATCTATCACCCCCAAGGCCGATGGGACATCTATCCGGGAGCATTTGTTCCAGTCCCTCGTCCTAGCGGAGACGCGATATCCCAACTGTGGATTGGTCGTCACAGGAGATTTCAACCGCTTGGATATTAAGGGCTTGCTGAATCACTTTCGTCTCCAGCAAATAGTTCAAGTTCAGACCCGGAAGGATGCCATATTAGACTTGGTGCTCACTAACATGCAAGAATACTATAATCCGCCACAAGCCTACCCTCCATTCGGGTTGTCGGATCACAACGCTGTTGTTGTGTCGCCAAAAGATGGTAAACGTGATGTAAACAGAAAGCACGTTGTTAAAAGGCGTGACTTACGTGAGAGTAACAAGGCTGCCTTGGGGAGATATCTAACCTCTATTGATTGGCCTTTATTGTTCGCTCCTACGGATAGTTGCCAGGAAAAGTGGGAGATTTTCCACACTGCTGTACATACAGGGCTTGATATTCTGATGCCTGAGAAAGAAATTCGCACCTGTAGTGCGGACGCTCCTTGGATTGACCATAAGCTGAAGTCAATGATTTTGAAAAGACAAAAAAAGCGTTCAAATCATATGGCGGCGACTCTGCCCAATTCAAGTTCTTCCGAAATCTGGTTAACCGGGAAAGAAAGGCATGCAGAGCTAAATATTATGAAGTGAGAATTCAGAATTTAAGACAAGAAGCCCCAAAGAAATGGTGGGACGAAGTAAAGCGTCTGAGCGGCTCAAAAAGGAAAAATAGCGACCTTCTGAGCCAGATTGACGTGGAAGGTTTTCAGAATTGTCATTAATAGAAAAGGCCAACACCATCAATGCCGCGTTTTTAGAACCGCTGGAGGAGTACAGACTGCCAACTCCACTAGAGTTTCTCCCCATGGAGGCGAATACAACACCAGAGATCCTGCACGTGGGTGAACAACGTGTTCAGAAGGTTCTGTCTCACCTTAACCCTGGGAAAGCGTGTGGGCCTGATAGAATTCCCAATTGGCTACTGAAGGAATATTCAGATGCAGTGGCTTTCCCAGTGACAGAAATCCTTAATGCCTCCTACTCCGAGCAGCATTTACCAAAAATGTGGAAGTTGGCTGACGTGACACCCCTGCCCAAAAAGAAATCAGTAAAGGAACTGAAAAAGGACCTAAGACCTATCTCGCTTACTCCATGCATTTCTAAGGTCGCAGAAGGGTTTATTGTGGACGACTACGTCAAACCAGCAGTTATGAGTATCGTTGACGACAGCCAATACGGGGCAATACCAAACTCTTCCACGACTATGGCCTTAATTAGCATGTTACATAATTGGTCAATTAACACTGATGGAAATGGCGCTACTATAAGAACAATCGTATTTGATTATCGAAAGGCCTTTGATTTTATCGACCATGAAATTCTGATTAGAAAACTGCGTACTAAGTGTAAATTGCCAGTTAGTATTACCAATTGGATAGTTGACTTTCTTTCTGATAGATCACAAAGAATTAAGCTGGCTGCGGAGTGCTTTTCGGAGTGGGGATCTGTGCCCTCCGGAGTACCACAGGGCACAAAATTGGGCCCATGGTTATTTGTGCTTATGATAAATGACCTTGAAATCGCGTATCCACTATGGAAATACGTTGATGATACAACAGCCTCGGAGATGATACCAAAAGAGAGTGAAAGTCACGCCCAAAATATAGCAGATTGTGTTAGTGAGTGGTCACGAGAAAATAGAGTTCACTTGAATTCTGATAAGTGCAAAGAGCTTCGGATCTCATTTTCTAAAAGGCCCGGGTTCTTTGATCCCATAGTAATTGAAGGCAAAGAGTTGGAGGTAGTTAGTAGCGTAAAGCTCCTGGGCCTTAATATAGCTAGCGACTTGACCTGGAACAGTCATATATCAGAAGTAATCAAAAGGCCAGTAAGAGGTTGTATTTTTTAGTGCAACTAAAGAGAGCTAGGGTTCCCTTACAAGACCTAGTACTTTTCTACACATCATGTGTAAGATCTGTAACAGAGTACGCGATACCTGTCTTCTATAATGCACTTCCGCAATATCTGAAGAATGAGCTTTTACGTATTGAGAAACGGTCAATTTCCATTATAACTGCGGGTGATTGCGCGGTTGCTCAAGATTTAGGAATACGACCCATCTTAGAACATTACGAATTTCTATGTCAGAAGCTTTTAAAGGTATCTTAGACAACCCTAGCCACAAGTTAAAGGCGCTTCTTCCACCCATACATAAACCCAGCTATAACTTCAAAAATAAGCGCCAATTTAATATGCCACGCCTTCGCACTTCGAGAACGATGAACACTTTTATATTTGCTATGGCAAGGAGGTTTAATGGCTAGATTTTTATCGATACGATATCCTTTATTTTTGTTACGGCACGCGTGATAATTATAGTAATAATAATGATAATGATAATGTAGATACTTTTAATTAATTTAAATTTATTTTAATTTAGTTTACATTTATAGCTAATGTATTTTATTTAATTTACTATCATGTTATTATATTGTAAATTGCTGGTATAATAAGACGTGTAATTAGGTTTTTGAATTTTAAATTTTAAATTTCTTGGATTGTAAAAATGTGTAATTCAGCCCTCGGGCTGCAAATGCATTTGAGATTAAACTATCTATCTTGGGAACCAGCTGTTAATGTACATTCCTCTCATCGAATATCCCTGCTGTTGACATCACTAGTAACATATCCTTTAGAGATTCTGGAATGGCTTCAAACTACAAAGTGAAATTAAAACAATGGTTATATGTGCATTTACGATGTGCCCGGCACAGCTCAAACAGTCTAATTATGATAAAAACCGGGTTACTAAATTGCGCATGGCTACCTTCGCGCAACTTTCATTTGACCCGACCCTTGTTTCTAATGGAGTGGTTAAGAAAGCATTCTTGGCATCTTTGTGAGTTAATTTAGTATTATCAACTGAGTTGATAACGTAAACTGGCCACCGTAAAGAATTTCAGAGTTGACATTTAGTCAGAGCGATTGGAGGAAGAAAATTGAGCTATGCTATCTGTGGGAATATGGTGACGAGAAAACAAGAATAAATAAGTGGAATAAAAAGCGCTCGTTGATACCGTGGGGAGTAAGAGCGACGATTTGAAAGATAAATTTTTGTTCTAGAGTTTTGCGGCTTTCCAAACTGCCTAGATGTAGGGAGAGAATAGAATGATTAGGGAGATTAAAGTGTTCTAGCGACTGGTTTGGATGCGTCCTTGTCATTTCTTTCTACGTCGCGAAGGCGTTCTGGAATCAGTCACCTAGTTGTCTTCCTGTTTCACTAACGTATAACTTTTTGCAATAAGTGCAAGTTCTACAGTAAATGACATTGGCGGAGGTACACGTAAAGTGATCAGTGATCTAATTGGATCTCTTGAGTTCCGACATTTTCTCTTCGTTACGAATGAA